CTGTTCGAATAAGCGGTTTTATAAGAAATCGATGGTTTCTGGTGAGCGGCAGTATTTGCATCAGCATGGAAAACGTTTTTAATGAAAGGCTTTATTTATGATGGGGAATGCAATGTGAAATGCAAGGCTTGAACATGCATGCAATTAAAGCTGTATATGCTTTTCTGCAGAATTGCTACTATCCGTTCAGCTCGGATTTAGCTCTAATACGACCCTCTTTTTATTATTCCGTTCGGGCTGATTTAGCTCCAATACGACCCCTTTTGTAATCCGAAGTTGACATTAGTAATAACAGGCTAGGATTTTATGACCATAATAGGGATATGAACCCAAGAAATCAAAGAGCACTTACCCTCCTAGGGCTCCTTTTAGAGTGCTTTTTGATTCTGTTTACCCTAGGTCAAAATCCTAACCTGATTAGTAATATATTCTGACATATACATACATACATATATATATATATGTATTCCTTGTTCCCTACTAACCCCCAGAAGGATTGGGCTTGGGAAGTTGGGACTCGTTCAGGATTTATATTCAATGGGGTGCGAGAATTTGGGAGCCCTGTTTCGAGCATGTGAAGGTTTCGGCTAATTTCGACTTGCGAATTTCCATTTTTTACTCAAGTACAGGGCTTGAACTTAGGGTTCTCACGTTTTGGGGATGACCGGGCCTGACGAACAGGTTCTGCACAGCGCGTGCTCCGCACATCGTGACTCACGTAGACACACACACACACCCACACACACGCCTGGCTTCAAGATCTGGTGTTCTGCAAGCTTGCTAAAGCACAATTCTCACGTGGCTACTTAACTTTGACCGGAGATACTGTTGAGCCAGGGCCGTGCCCTTCTAGACTACCAGGACTCTCCTTCACGGATGTTGATGTTAACACGGGTAGTTCAACTATTTAGCAGGACCCAGTTCAAATTTTCCTGTCTTGTACTGAAGTGAGATTTTTTGGGATGTGGCATAGACTACTGTGTAGCATGCAAAGGGAAAGCGCAACTATAATGGACTGTTTTCATATGCGATCGGTTGGCATACAGTGCTGTGGTGGCTCTGTGGGACTTGCCAGCCACCAATGCTATCTACTGACGCAGTTAATTACTCCTGGTGCGTAGGTGCCCTCCGATTCAGACATGTTTACTTTCACACTGCGCAGAAGACGTTTAATCTGAACTTGACTGATAGCAATTTGTCAATGCAGCGTGAATGCAGTTTTTGTAATGGAGGTGCGGAAGATTGAGTTCTGTGCTCTTGCTATCAGAGTCTGAGTTTCGAAAAGCCTTGTTCAAAAGATCACTGTAGACCAGGCAACAACGCGAACTCCTAGACCCACTCTTGATCGCTCTTGTTAATTCATGAGAAAATCGCTGCGACATGGAAGGAGGGTTTATCAAGGTTTTCTCCTGTTGCTTGAAGGGGTTGCCATATGTGAAGTCTTGGCTCCGGCGAGCAGGGCTCATACAGGTCGGCTACCATATGCATCGCCACTATCACCAACTCTTTGAAACCAAGTAGGTCCATACCCGGAAGCAAAATGAGGCCGCGAATCCCTCTGTAATAGTACCCATTCCCGTCAACTCTATACTAGTCCAACAAATCCCCTAGCAATTCCCAACTAAGCAGTGCCCAGATCGTCGGCAAGCACTGCAGCTGCAGGGACGGCGGCAAAGGCGATTGTTGTTCGAGAGCTCTTTGAGGGCTTAGACTGTGGTCTGGGTATGTCTGGGTTTAGGCGCAGATACCGTAGGAGGCTTCCTGTGTGCTCTAGGTAGTGCTTCCATCATACTGCCAGTTGGGCAGTCGAACGTCCTGCATCACGTTCATTCAGATTTGGGCTGAACCAAGCACGCCTAGGAAACTACGAAATCTGATTTTGGTCCGTAGAGTATAGCAAGCACTTCATGGGATGACTAGCCTTTTGGCTTCAAAGGTCAGATGGAGCCATTTGAGCTATAGTCTAAGCTCCTAGTTGCCTCCTTAATGACCCCTATGATCCCCTATGATAGTCCCCCATATGATGACTCGCCTTAAGGAGCTTAGATTGGGGTTTCCCAAAATTAGGGGTACCCTTTTGGGGGTCCCCATAATAAGGACTATAGTATTTTGGGGTCTATGTTGGGGTCCCCTTGTTTAGGGACACTAGCAGATCATTGAAGAAATTGTCATGCCCTTGGTCATCAGTGGGCTGCTGGCAAATAGTCAATGCTGGCTCCAGGTTCCCTGAGCAACCTCGAGTCATGAAGACCTCACCCATTGGGTAATATTAGGGTTATATTCGGGTTGTATAGGAATAATGGAAAATGAAATGGAAACTGCAGTTTAGGGTTAGGGTGTATCCGTGGCAGGCTAGCAAGGCCCCACGTCTGAAGCATCATTTGCTGGCTAATGTTGATTACCGCCAATGTTTTCGGCTCGGTCCCTGCCGTGTGCACACAGCGCTCAAAGAGCTGGGCCCCCGGCCTGTGTTTGCTTGTAGGGGCAGTGTTTGAAGAGTGAAGTAGTTGGATTCTGCCACCCAAAAAGAACTTTGAGAGGACGGGGTCCACTCCCGGAAGCTCATTCCACAGTCTTGTTACAGATCGGGCTTAGGGCATTGAAGGTATCGGAATCTGAGGCCTGCACGTGGTGGTGTCTGGTTGGCAGAAGCTGAAGAGCTTGGCTTCTAGTATTTTGTAGCAGGAAGCGTAAATGCGCTGCTGCGCATATGCACGACTGAGTGGCTCTAGGCCATGTGAGTTACTAACAAGCCATACAAGGGGCTTTCTGTTACAGGTTGGGAAGCTACATGATGCAAAGATTTCTGCCATTTGATGTAGTAGCGACCTCTCCCTCTCACGTGTGTTTAAGAGCGTCAAAGCCGGCACCCCAGGTCATGCCCTCGAGTAGCAGAGGTTACCTGGGCAATGGGATCGTAGGAGTACCTCAGCACAATGGGAGCAAGCTGGTGGCCTAGAAGGCAAGGGTAGGCCCATCAACAGCCATTTCTCAGTTAAGAATTTCATGGGTTTTGGGAACAGACTTAGCTGTGGGAATAGCACGAATAGAACCCGGTGCGTTTCCTGACTGTTGAGCTTGTAGCTTCTTCGGCATGTAACGAGACTCCCACATAGGCAACTGCAATTAGAACAGCCATGTTCATCCATCGACCTTTGCCGCAGTTTGGCCATCCGGATCAGTGTTGCTGCCACTGATGTGCCCTCAACGTACATTGTCCCAACTTCTGAACATGGTGCCGTGCAATTTAAGATTGGCCCTGAACCGCAGCTGCACGTCTCTAGGGACGGTCAAGCAAGTAGAGCATTCTACCGACTAGACTATCTTTGCTTACTCCTGGGTTCAGCACTCCGTCGTGCAACAGCTAAGAGTGGCTGTCGAGCCATTCTGCAGTGTGCCATGTCTAGCAATGCGAGCTGCGTGGTGCGAAATGGCACTGGCGATCCCTGTTGCGTCAGCGTGTTTGCATCAGGTATCGCGGAGACACCGGAGGAGTACACGATACAGCCCGATGATGAGATCTGCGTCACTTTAGACGCTTCCCAACTTTCGTACATTGCAGCGCGGTACCTGTCGCAGCCAGTGCCTTCCACCCATCCTTTTCCAGCAGGAACAGGCTCTGCAATTGTGGAACTTACCGCCTCATTGACATCAAGTGCTAGCGTTGGAACAGCTGGGACGGATGAGAAGCAGAAGCTGACGTTTGTGAATCAGTGTTCTGTGGACATTTGGTTCCGGTTGTTTTTCAAAGATGACTACAAGGACCGCCTGGTTTTTGCCGGTGGGTCTGAGGCCTATGAGTTTGATGATGCGCATGTGACTTCCTTTGGTGCAAAGTTCCAATACCCCGCGAAGAATGGAGTCTCAGACTTTCGATGGCTTCCCATCCATCAAGCTGATGCTGGGTTGCTGTTAAGGAACTTAAATTAAATTACTATATTGGGGAAACCCTATTATTTACTACATATACCCAACATAGTAACTTAATTTAAGTCCCTTAACAGGAACCCAGGATGTTGTCGGCAGCGAAGTGAATATCACCTTCCAGCCAACAATCGCCTTTAACGTCTCGGAGTGCAAGATGGGGCACGTCAAGCTAGTGCAAGATATCTTCAAAAAGTACGATCCTGGGCGTTGCTTGCAATTTAGTTGGTTCCTTCCGCTAGCTGGTCGTTACTTCTGTGGATTTGAAATCGCTGTAGCCTAAGCAAGCAAGGTCTAAGGCAAATGCTCGTTGTACGATATAAGTTGTTTGCTTTTGCAAGCTAAACCTTAGAATCAACAGAGCTTCAAGAAAGTTATTGACAACCAGTCAGGACACTTCTGGTGACGGTGTCCTTTCAGAGGCCGAGATGCTGGCCATGTTTGAGGCTTTATCGTTTCCAAGGGATGAGGCAGAAACGCTGCTTAAAGATGCAGATTCCAATCGGGACGGCAAAGTGCAAGTGCATGAGTTCATTTCTTGGTTTCTTGGCGTGGCAGCTGCTAGAGGTTAGAGATACGTCTATATAATCACACAGTTGATCCTCTTTTCTTTGTGGGCTGGGTTGCCAAAACCCGTGTTTTTGGGCTCACCACGTGAACATCACTGATCATGTGTCGCTCCCCTTGATTTTCAGTAGTGATGCAGAACTTGCTACGCGGAGTATGTGGAATGGATCTGCGTTTGATTTCTTCGAGAGCTGGGACTGGTTACCCGTCATGCTCATAGACAGGTGTCCCCCTTACATGTGCTGATTGGATTCGAAGGCCCGCCGCATCATTTCGGAACATTTATCGCGTTTTTGTCCGTCTGTGCTCATGCTGCAGACCCTCTTAAGCCTGCCGTTTGCACCAGCTAAGGCTCATGACGAATCCTGGGGTGTTCGAAGGCGAGACAGAATGATCCGGTGATCCATCATGTTGCTGTGAACGGACCCAGTTTGTCCGGGAGATTCCTTGCACCACCCAGTTGTTTCACAGACGCCTGTAGTTGACTTTGAAAGAGTTCAACAGTAACGGAGGAGATGGCAAGCTGAACAAGATAAAAGGTTTGCCGGGAGTTGGCCGACGAAACAAGGTTTCAGGACGTAGGAAGTCCGAGGCTGTCACCTCGGGGCAGTGTTGGGCTTGTGGTTCTATTTGCTACATATGCACATTGCCATACAGGCTTTGCATGCATCGTACTGATGCGGCTTCCAGCCAGCAGGCATTCTGTCAGTGCATAATATTGAGCCCCAATGCAAACCTGACGAGTTCTGAACTTGGCAGACTTCGTTGCGAACCAGCTGTTGAAATCATAGCCTCCCATCCAGCCCAAGAGGATGCCCCGGACTGAATGCTATTTAGGGAAGAAGCAAGCAGGGTGGGGGACGTCTTGTTCTTGTTCCTCCATATCCAGGCAACTGACGTCTATATGGGCAACTGCTGCCCTCCACTAGCAGTGCTCTCAGGCCCGTTACAACCTGGATCCCAGCGCCAGAAGAAGTTTCTGCTTGGGTCTCAGCAGCCAGGGTCCTTGCATGCAGGAGTGGGATCAGAGTTTGGGGCTTCGGCTTCAGAATGTCAGGGCTTGGATGAATGTTTGATCCTGAGCTTGGTTGACTCTATGCCATGACAGCCCTCGGGGGCAAGGATGCCTGAGGATGTCAGAATTTGATGAGGCTTCAGACCCCTCAACTGGGCTGCAGCCCGAAAAGTGGATAATGGAGCACATGTATCGAAGAAATCTAGCGCACAACGCCTTGCAGAATCCATGGATTCATGTGAGAGCTGTCCTAAGCAGCCTTGCAAACACTAGGGTATTCTTAAAGCCACTACTCGGCCCTGCACCAAGGGCGAAAGCACAGTTAGCCGGCCATCTGGTAAAGTCAACCACAAGCCGCTGCCTTGACATGCTGGATGTGGTAAAGTAAGGGTCTGAGAGCGAGACCATTCCTCTAAAGCCTTGATGTAGAACCAAATACTATAACCCCTATGTAATCCCAGCTTCCATTTCATTTTCCATTTTCTTTTCCATTTGATTCTCCATTATTGGGGTAATATTGGGTACCATAGTATCCCCAAACCCTAAAGAACCTTGGGCTCCAAGACGCCAAGCCCAACATCCGTGGGATGTGCATACATGCTGAGCCTGCAGTCCTTAGCAAGACACAAAGTTTGCACCCCAACATCAAGTAGATCTGTTGTTATTGTTTTCGCCGGGTGCACGCAAAGTTGTTGAGGAATATTCGAGTTCATAGATGAGGGAACTCTTCCTGCATCATGAATCCTACACCATGTCCAGGTTAGCACCATGATGGAATGCGACCCCTCTTCGGCTTTCTTCGGGTGCGGAGCTCGAACGAGTGCCCTTTGTGGTGTTCCTTCGACATCCTACGACCCACTTGCGTATGTGCTATCCTTATGCCTTTGTTTTGTGTCTTCGCAGCTCAAAGGCAATGTGACGCTGTTACTTGCACTGGCTAAACCCTAATCCCTAAACCCTAGTCAGGGTATGTTTTCACGAGAGCTCCACCGACAAGTTTTGAGGTTTTGCACTTGCAGGTGGCAGGAGATTGGGCAGCTATAATATACTACACGATAATATATTTCATTATAGCAGCATGTACTATAATATATTATAACCTCCAATAATGTATTATTATAGTATGCTATAATATGCCATGATATACTACGATATACTGTTGGCTTGAGGAATCCGTTCTCAACAAGATCAGCGTGCGGCTGCATCTTTATGGCGATTTTTAACACGGGATGCTTTTAGCCATGCGTTGCTTATTCGGTAGGATTGATCCTTGCAAAAGAAGCGTTTTTGCGGGGCGCACATATTTGGTATTGAGCTTTCAAGAGGTGCTCCCGAATCTGTCCCGATGATGCTCTGATGCACGTAGGCATCATATTTAGCCCATCACCAACCATCCTCATCCATGATACTCAGCATTCCTCATTATGGTCATCTTTGCCATCATCAATGAAACAAGAACATGCTTCTGAGCATGGGTATTCCAATGTAAAGCAGAGCTCTGTAAGAGCAGCGCAGAGCCGCTTGCAGACTGATTTGTCAGGTTCATGGGCGTGACATCCGCCTTGGTGTTCGCAAACCTTGGGGCAGCATCTTGACTTTGTTAAGATTTAATTTGGGCTGCTTACACCTCAGTCCTGGAGTTGGACAGGGGTGACTTTGTGGTGCACCAGTGCTCTCATAATGATCATGTGACCCAGATTGTTGACTCGCAGCCTTGAACGAAACTTCAACGAAACTGTAAGTACTTCTAGGCGATTCTAGACGTGCATCGCCCAAGTTCCATGGCTGCGCAGTGGTTGTGCGATCAAGAAATCAGATACGCACAACAATGAAACGCGCGTGTTGCATGTGTTCAAGGTCTTTTGCTGTTCCTCGTTGAGGTACCACGGCTAACACGGTTTCATGCTCCCGTTTGCTTATTTATGTGAGCAAGGAATGAAAGTCCGAAACCAATAACAACAGCCCGTGCGCGAGGCAGTCCACAGATTTGCATCCCACATGTTTTGCTTTCAAGTGGACGCACAGGCACATACAAAGGGCAGCGTGCTAAACACGGACAACGATGCACCTCGAAGTTATTGATGCGACTGGAGCTTTAGAAAAGCAGTGATATGATATGAATGACATTTCGTCTGCATGGATCCAGTTCAAAGCTAACAGTTTACAAGAGTCCACCTCTTACAGCATCAGGGCAGCATGGGCTGCCCGCATGCACTGGCACCTTACCAGCCATCTTGCTCTTCCTTCGCGGGAATGTCGCATTGACAAGTAAGCTGCCAGCTTTCCAGCATTTAATTGGAGATTAGGGCCTCGGATGTTGCCCTGGATTCTGGCCTTTCAGAACGGATCCTGGCTTTTCGTTCAGCTGATGGGCACGCAGGAACTGAGGACCTTGTGTTGAGGACCCAGACCCAGACTTCTTGCCTGGCACCCTGGAAAGCCTCACATACTGCGTGGTTGTTGCAACTCTCAGCTTGCTTATTTGCGGCTTGACCAGAAAGTAAGGCATACGGCACGGCGAAGAGCGGTGTTGGCATTGCATCTATGGGCGTGACCTGGCTACAGATAGCTGAGTCAAAGCATCTGAGATTGGGAAGGCTTAAGCTGGCAGTATCAAGCAACTGTCCTGTAACCAAGGCCGTACATGGGTTCCATGAGTTGTCAAAAAGTGGTGCCCAGAAGTGTTCCACTGGCTTTTGCTTCGAGCGAACCAGTTCCCACGGCCATCGCGTTTAGTTCGTGCTGCATGACAGCAAGCTACCATCATCTGGTTTGTTCCCGTACCTTGCTGACCTAGCTTAGACTAAGCTGGACATACAGACTCCCAATCCTTCTCAAGAAGCCTGGTCACTCCGCGGGCGGAAGCTTCGTGTTTCAGTTGCTGTTGAAGACGGAACAGAGATTGTAACTTGCCACTGTAGGCTCCTGTCTTGCTCATGCCTCAACCTTCATCACTTTGGCACGCGACGTCATGCGGATGTCATGTTACCAAGGTTTCCAGTATGATTGATTCGTGCACAGGTCATGCGACCTGATATGATCATGAAGTCCATCATTCCAGTGGCGGGGCGCTGAGATTCCGTGTGGTCTGCTTTGGGAAGCGAGCAAGTTCCATCCACGCCCTGGCAGCCAAAATAGTAGTTTCCATCTTGTTTTCCATGCTCTTGTCCTTTTGATTTTCCATTGTTGGTGATTCCTTGAAAATAAAAGCTGTCCTTGTATATCCCTATGCAACGCTAGTTTCCAGCGCACTTCTTATCTGTAATCTTCCAGTTGATTTTTCATATCCCCTGGATCCAGAGCTTGTTGATCCCAGAAAACGTGCTGCGGAATATGTTGCCTCTGTGTAAGTGGGTCTAGGGTTATACAGGGATGCACAAGATATAACAAGGCGAAACTATTGTATAAACTATTACCGACGATAGAGGATCAAATGGAAAAGAAAAGGAACACGAAAAGTAAACTACGTTTTTTAGGGTGTGTGTATGTCCTGCTGAGGGCACACATTGCTCATGCCAAGTTTAATACTTTTTTCACATGTCCAGATAAGACGACAGGAAAGACCATGAATACGTAATGCCACAGACAGCATAACAGGATGGAGGACATGTCCAAGGACAGATGCAGTCAAATGAGTTGGGCTTTCGGGCCTATAGGGTGTAGGGCAGAGTTCGCAGAATCATTTCCGCATCCAAACAGGCGCCAGCCAGTGCAGGCAGTGTTGGGACTGCGGGTACAGTGAATAATCTTGACGCCCGAGTAACGGTCAGTGGCGCAGGCCTGCGATTGCATTGTAGGGGCCTAAGCAGTTACCAATGTCAAAAGACCACAATGTTGGTCATCCCAGTTATCCCCATTTCTGTAGAATCCTAGTTTGTGTTTCATTTTTCTTTTCCATTTGATTCTCCAGTATCCTTATATACTCCTATATAGTATACCCCTATGTATCCTTGTTAAAAAACCTAAAATATGGGCCCCTGCAGGACAAAAAATGGCGGCCAGTCTTCTCCTCTCCTCTTATCAGTTTATCCCGGGCACGGTTTGATCAGTTCCCCCCCCCCAAACCCCCAAACCTTAAACCCCCCAAACCCTAAACCACCAAACCCTAAACCCCCAAGCCCCCCAAGCCCTAAACCCTAAACCCCCCTAAACCCCTAAACTGAGGGCACAACATTGAAGTCCCTGAAATCCTCAGGATGCCCACTCCTGATATACGGAATTAATATTAAAGCTACCAGAACATGTGTATATATATATATATGTATACATATATACAAGATATATGTATATTTTTAAAAAATGGAGTTTGGGGTTTAGGTTACCATAGTTACTATGGGTCTATAGTACAAAATAAGGTTTCCTTGTTCTAGTAACTCGTACTTTCAAAAAAAGCTTTGACAGCAGCCCAGTCAAAATCTGGGGTGGGCAAGGATGCCATCTACTGCTAAGGAGAAGCGATCACATAACTTTAGCTTGTTTAATCGAATCTTGCTGCTGTGGGACAGCTCAGATCATGATAGCAAGAAGCAATTCAGTTCCACAAGCCAAGCCCTCCGAGATTCCAGGATCCTTATCATGAATTTGGGAGACATTCTAGAGGCCGAGGAAATGCCAACACCTGTGGATTTCTTACAAGGTTTGGCATGCAGAACATGAGCCAGCTAGCAGCTAACATCAGTCCTCAAAACGTGAGGTCATGGCGGGTGTGTTGGGCATCTATGGACTAATCACGGCGGCAAGCCCCCCAGAGGGCGCTGAATCCGGTGCAGCCTTGAGGGCTTTCACGGATTTAGGCAGGTTGCCCAGCTATAACAGTAGGCTTACGAATAGATGCAGGGTCCTTGCATAAGCAGCAGAATGTCATCAGTAAAGTTGCGGGTTGCTGCGGCAAAGCCGGGACGTGGGCAGCTCCACAGAATCCAGGGTTCTGGATTCCAGAATCTACTTCTACTCTGGCAGAAGCGGTCTAGTTGGGAGAACTTGCGAGCTGAGCGTGATGTAGAGCTGTGCATGAAGCTGCGCAAACTGAATTTGTCAGAATCGAGGGTTTAATAGCTTTCAAGCTCGAAGCTTGCTGGCTGGAATGCGCAGCGAAGCTTGAGATGTGGGGCATGGCTGATTTTCTGGAGCAGTCAAGTTTGTGACTACTATACTGCTGTGCCTCGTGCGTGTAATGTGTACTGATATGCAGTGTTACTTCTCGGTTTCCTTCCTCCTACAATGACTAGGACTGGTACTTCTCCTCCAACCTGCTTGTTGTCACAGGGCCAGTTTCTCTTGCTATGGCGATGACTGCTATCTGCGCTGACGCCTACCTTTGTTTTTTTTTTGAATTTTCCTGCTTCAAAATCCGTTCCGTTGCCTACTACGATGCATGATGGTACTTGTGATGCTTGAACGCATTACGACATAGTTGAGACTGACCATTCGTTTCTGTAACGGCTATTGTTGATTCTGCCGACGGTATTCTTTTAATGCCAAGAGGAACGACTGTAACCCTCCATGCAAGATGCCGTGCTACTCTTGATGGTGCATCAGCACGTTCTCCAAAATCCAGGGCTCTAAAGTTCTTAACCAGTGCTTTCTTAAGCAGTGCTGGCGCTGTATTGGATTCCCTGTGTCTTGCAATATTTCCTCCCGTATGGCTAGCATGATTCGTGCCAACATGTTAGATTAGTGATAGCTCTCCGTCCGCTACGACGCAGTTTCCTAAGCCTGCCACTTTTCATGCATGCTACGCTTCCACTACTCCTGCTACTCTTCCTCCGCTACGACGACTGCTTCTTCTATGGAAGTCAGGTGAAAGACAGTTGCAGATGTCTTACCTGAAGCCCATAACCCCAGATTCGGTGTGTCGGCGCTGAGCGCAAGCTTAGCAAGGCTAGTAGGTTAGTCCAGGAGACTGTTGCAGCAGATATCCGCGGAGAGGTCTAGGCTGGTCAGTTCAATTTGCCACAGCTGGGTAAGAGGTGGAGGGTTTAGTGTTTAGGGCTTGCGTTAGAGCATGACGCCTCTGAAGCCCAGAAATGCTGAAGTCCCAGCAATGACAATTGACTGGGGCTCGCATTCACCACATGAGGTAGCTAATTTCCATTGGATACTGCGTCTAACACCAGCATGTAGGGATTCCGCTTTCAAGGTTCTGCAGCTTAGACCCGGTAAGGTCATCATCAATGGCAAGATGGATGCAGCGAACTACTCGGCATACTCCGGCTACGCGCACCTAGGAGCAGGCACGGGCAAGACCTGCTCCAATTGCACAGCCAGTTTAAACACCCAAAGGTCTTAGTGCCAGTGAAATATCACATGTGCCAGCGAGGCAATAACAACATTTCAACGCCGAAGGCGTTGGTGCTGAAAAGGATGTGCAAAAGCGGGTTGAACCGACTATCCCCTCCGAATTCTAGATCCTTCATGGTCCTATTTTATTTTTTACTGAAGCCCCTGTACGAATTCCAAAAAGGCTACGCCATATCCTCGATGCGACACTGTCACTAATATCCTCGCAGCCCAACACCCCAAATTCTAAACGCTCCGTAGGTACCCCTGAACCCTAAGCGCGCATAACTGGGTTGCTGTTAAAGAACTTAAATTAAGTTACCCTATATTCCCCCAGTTTCCATTTTATTTTCCATTTTATTTTCCATTTGATTCTCCATTATAGGGGATAATATAGCTTAACTTAACCCTAAACCCTAAACCCTAAATGGTAGCTTAATTTAAGTTCCTTAACAGCAACCCAGATAAGCTGCAAATCTTTGAGCTGCAGGCCTCACCGTGGGTATGAGCTCGCTGGCTGCGGGCCTCGCCATTGGATCCTTGCCTGGGTGTAGACTTTGGGTTTAGGCTTTAGGCTTTACGGTTCAGAGAGTTCGCGGCTCAGCGTTTTTGAGGGTGTTAGGGTTTGGGAGGCTGGCATGCATGGATGGGAGATATGAGGTTCTGCAGTTTGACACTTCGTGATTGTGGGGCTTGCTTTCGTTGGTATCTCGCCAAATCCCAAAACCAAATCTGCCTCTTGGAATCTTCTAAAACAACGAGTAGTTTCCATTCCATTTTCCATTATCCCCATATTATATAATATACTAGAGCAGTTTCATGGAGCTGTCGGGTTTCTCGACGCAGGAGTCCCTATGCCCCGACACTGTCATGGCATTTGTGCGCTTCACAAACAACAACTCTTTTGTCGTTTCGTGCCTTCGTGCCCATATGAGCTTTAGTCTAAACTCCTTAAGGGGGCGGTTACTTTTGGGACTATCTAGGGGACCATTATAGGGGTTCTTAAGGGAGATACCCCAAGTTTAGATAATGGCTCCTATCGCAGCGCGGGCAGGTACTGTATATGTGTGCTGTAACCAAAAAGATATGGTCCCTGTTAAGCAGATCGAATATGAGGTATATGGGGATCTTAGATACAATATACCCAAAGCCATATTCTATCTACTTAAGGGGGACTATAGAGTGAGTTGGGAACATCCTGAAGTTCCTCCCAAGCTACCGAGATTTCTGAGGGGCAACTACGCAAACTGATCGCCTAAGTAGCCCTGATTGTATAGATGCATGCATCCCCCCCAGGAAGATATTCTAGGGTTTAGGGTTTAGGGTTTAGGGTCTTGAAAAACATATATCCCTAAACAGTAGTTTCCATTTTCTTTTCCATTATCCCCATATTCTTTTGCATCATCCCAATATATTCCCCACATATCCCCTGTATATCCCCTATGTGCTCCCTACCCCCCCCCCCCCACCCAATTTGACAAGTTGCTTCTTTGTCGGATTATGCATTCCGCAGCTTTAACCATGATGTGCTATGTTCAGGGTTTTAGGGTTTAGGGTCACAGTATAGGTCCTTGAGCAGTGCTGAAGAAAGCTTAGCACGTAGGACTTCCCGCCTTCCAGCATGGTGATAGCAAGGTTCTAAGTCAGGTTTGAGCCACATCTTGAAGTCAGTTCAATGAACAGCAGGATGCAACAGGCATCTTCATAGTATGAGCGTACCAAGGAATTGTCGGAGATGCTGGTGTTAGGCAGGGCCCTCAGCGAGTGCCCTGGAGAATGGTTTGCCAGGACATCAGGAAGTCAAGCGAAGGATTCCGGACGGTTGGATCAGAGGATTGCAGGCTACGAATTTTAACCGGGCTTCCGCCTCCGCCTAGTTGGGTTGAGTGTATATAGGTTTGCATGTGCTTTGGATTTACCGTTGAGGGCTCTTGCCGCTTTCTCCGGACAACATCTGTTGATGTTGCTGTGATCTCCCTGTGCACGAGCGCAAGCTCGCCGGTTGCCGCGCTTCTAGGCCCAGATGACAGCATGTTGGCGCGGGCCACCACGGCCCTAATGACACCCGCTGATAGGATGGTCCTGCAGTGCTTGATTGGCGGTGAGAACATGGACGACCCCAAGTAAGTAAGCATTACTACCTCAGCTCTGTTGAACCTTCGCTTTGATGCCGCTTCGCGTGGAGCGTTCCTGGCCGTATGAGTAGCCATATCTCAGCGCCCTTGGGCGGGATTCGGCTTGGCTTGACCTTGTCAGACATGAGCTCTGATTGATGGACCTCCTCCTTCTCTTTGTCCTTTGGCAGCGCAACGGTATGCTCGCTTCATCCACGTCTCATTCAAACCCATTTTTCTCGCGAAGCGGTGCGCAGCATATCACACATCTGGGACAAGCGAATTCAATCTTTCTGGTTCCTGGCGATGATGAGGAAATTTTTGCTGCTGGTGATGATGGTGACGACGAGTATTGTTTACTTCTATGTCTTCTAATTCTGGTTTGAGAGGAAACTGGACGCTAAACCTCATTGTCATTGTCCTTCCCTACTCTTGGTTCCACGCCTTCGTGGCAAGAACTATTTGATTTTGCGAGTGCTGGTCTTCTTGCGCAAGCCGTTGCTATGGCCAGTGCCATGCCTGTATGAACCCATCTGCATCCCAAGATCCGGCCACAAACCCTGCGCTCTGAACTGAGGGCCAACGCTCAGCAGCCACGACTCTTTGCACAGTCCTCAGCAGCAAGGTTTTCAGTTGAGGACTTGTCTTGCTTGTAGCTGCTGCCACATATCCTGAATACATCTTAATACACCGAGACGTGAACAGTCTGGTGTAACACTCTTAGCATGTTTCTGGTCGGGTTTCATTGCGACTGTGGGTCAGACATTGCCAAATTGATTGTCAGTTCGCAAGCAGCCGCCATTGCCCTCATCTAGCTAGCAGGCAAAAGGCTTGAACATGCAAGGTGGAGTTTGTTTTCCTGGCCCCTTAGAACCTTAATGGGGGTCATAGAGTTCTTCCATATAATTGCCCTATATCTTAGGGGTCCTAGGGTCCCCCTCATCTTGCCCTTCTTCTCTACGAAGCGCCAGTAAGCCATTTTGAGAAACCCTCATATCAGACTGCTTGTCTTCAACTGGGCTCTTGTAGAACAAAATTTTGCATTTTTATGGATACCTGGGCTCAATATCAATACAAAAAGATCTTTTTAAATTGTATTTCAACAAGAACCCAGTCAAGGTGGGGATGATTTTGATTCTCATCTTCGCCGAGGCGAGGCGGCATAGCACCATGACATAAGAGCCTCATAGCTTAAGGTTTGTGTAGGGATATAGGGGCACTCTTGCCCCAATAATGGAGAATGAAAACAACATGGACACGGGAACTATGTAGTGGTTTGTAGAGCATGAGGGCCTTGGATAACTTACAAGCCATATCTTTTGAAGTCCCGAAATATGGATTACGGCTAGTTCGCTGCGGTCTACATTTGGGCCTGGTTTATGAAAACCTCCAAAGATTACATGATGTTTTCTTCGGTGTTGCTATCAGGCATGCGAAAACAATGTCAATCATCGCAGTCATAGATAGCACATGATAGCATTGCATAAGCCTACACTTTGGAAGGGGTTTTGCATGCGAAGGTTTGTCTAGGACGTTACAGTAGGGAGCTTTGCCCAAAGGGTTGAAGTTTTTGCTTCTGCCTCCCCACTGATCTGCGACCCCATGGCTTCAGCATTTTTCACGGAGTTCAAGGGCTGCAACAGATCTTCATCACATTGGGGGTCGGCGGGAAATTTGGCCCACTACCTCCAGCGACGTGGGTGCTACGTTGACACGAAAACTAGCATCAAGACTACGTAGAAATTTCTAATGTGCTATGCTGTTTCATGTTCTGCAGCTGCCTGTAGTAATGGCAGTCTGTTTGTCAAAGGCCTGCACCATAGGCTCTTCCATATCTCCAAAGCCCGAAGCCTACACAATCCAGATCTGGCAACCCTCTCAGCTCGAATTCTGTGGCCTTTACCAGGTTTTCCATCCGAAGGCAGTTTGCAACAACTTTTTTGAACAACTCCTTGTGTTGTTGTTTTTACGACCAGGTGGATCTTCAGCGAGAATCCTTCCCGAAACACATAGGTGACTGGCAGTCTTCAAACATTGTCTACCATAGGCGTACAAGAGGCCTTGTTTTTGGGAACACAGATCACACTGACTAGTGTTGGGTAGTGCGCCTCAATAAGCTGCAAGTAGGTTGCTCAGCACACGAAATTCAGTTGTGACTGTGAGTCTAACACCGATAAGGTCGCGTCGAACTACAAACGCACCGGGGGGGGCCTGTTGGCAACTCACGCCCCCTAAGGTTGCAAGCACCCAAGTGAGGTAGAAATGAGTGGAAACCATGGGTTTCTGCAATTGCTCTGCCTAGACCCTTGAACTACCCTATGTTTGGCTTTCAGAGCCTTACTTGGGGCCATATAGTCCCAATAAGGGTACTAAGGGTCCTGCCAAACAGGGAATCCCTGCAATCCCTTTGTGGGCCCTCAAACCTTTTGAGGTCCCTCAGGGCTCCCCATTTGAGAAACCCTGGTATTTAGGGCGGGATGACTTACAATTTTTGATTTCTGGCTATATAAAACCCCAACTAAGAAGCTGTACTCTAAGAATAGTGTGCAGATGAGGAACCAGTTTGGGTAATAAGAGGTTTTTTTGTACCCACCAACCTCCCAAAAATAGAACCTTCTCTCTATCATATGATTCTAGTAGCATCCTCATTTTGGGGGTTGGGCCCACCAAAACCCTAAACCCTAAGCGGTAGTTTCCAGTTTCATTTCCATTATCACAATATAACCCCAATATATATACCCTATTATACTATAATAGTTTCCATTTTCTTTTCCATTATCCCAATATAAGCCCAATATATATACACCCAATATAACCCCGATATATACATATATATATATATCTACACAAACCCAATATAACCCCTTATTGCTTGGGGCAGGCTCTCGGCCTCTACGGCCTCATTGTGGGCCTGGTAGTTGCCTCAACAGCTGAGGGCAAAGGACAGGGGACTTTGCATTCAGGCCTTATGAGCTATAGTCTAAACCCTAAACCCTAAACTCTATAGTAGTTTCCATTTTCCATTCTCCCAATATAACCCCAATTTATACCCTATTATGCCATAGTAGTTGAATTTGTCTTTTCCATTATCCCAGTATAACCCCAATATAGTTTCCATTGTCTTTTCCATTATCCCAATATAACCCCGAGGGGGTTATAGGGTTTTTGAAGGAGGGTTTTACGAGTTCAGACTTGAGCCGGCTTTAGCTCATATGTTTTAGGGTGATTCCGCTTGAGCTAGGTGTACTTGTGTTGTTTAGATTACACTGCGCATTTTTCGACCATTTGGGGTAGCGCGCTCTATATAAGGATTTTAATTTTCAGGTGTTATCACAGTTTTCAGTCCTTCTTGTGGTACGCGCTACAAACATCACGAAGCTCTGGGACGTTCCCTGATTACGCAATTCCAAACAGCACACCTTTTCATTAATCCCTCTAGAATCCCTACGTATTTCGTGTTGCGTGTCGAGCGCCCCATTTCTCACAAACAGCCGTATCCCGTTGAGTTTTCATCTCTACGAGGGGTGAACGTTCTCACGTTCTAGAGTCCTTCCCGATCGTCAGCTTGCGATTGAGCCCTATCTTTGGAACGGAGCCTTAACACTGAGTACTTGCATGAGGCACGGAGGCCAGTATACCTGCGCAATATGGACCATGGCCTTTTTTTGCTTTTCAGGTTTTCCAGCCCCAAAGTGCTCAAAACCGCTTTTTCAACCTGTGGGCTTCTGAGCAGTTTGGCTCCTGGCTTGGGGATGAACGGGGAATCTCATGACAAAGAACGGTGAATGTCCAACTCTGGCGACGTGGATCGGCCGAGTCTAAACTCTGACCTCTGAGAAACCCTGGCAGGAAAGGGACTTTGCAAGCCTTATGCTTGAGAGAGGCCTGTGCTCAGCATGCAAGAGCTTCATGGACTGAGGTTAGGAGATGTAGATTTTTGAAGGAGGTTCAGGGAGGGCGGAAAGTCTAGCGTGCTGGGTTTTGTGGGCTAGATGTCAAAGCTCGGAGACCAGGATGGTTGAGTGCAGATTTAGTGATGTGGAGCTTCAAGGATAGTCAGTCCAAGCTCCTAGCAGACCACGTTCAGCTGTTTAGTGTGCAGTTTGAAAGCACATCAATCTGACCATAGAATGGTGGAGTAGGAAGCAGCGCGTCAGCAAGGTGCCCTGGACTATCAGATCCAACTTCATGCTGGGGTTTAGGATTTGGGGTTCAGGGGTTCTGTGTCTCCTGTGTTTGCAAGGTTCCTGTATGCTTTGGCTGGCTGGGTAGCACTTTTTCATGCGGGCATCAAGACCTGCAAATCAGGATTCGGCAAACTCATTTGCAAAAAGGGCTGGTGGTACCATGACCGTGGCGTTCAGACAAGGCAAATAACATATGAAATCAAGGCTTTTCTAGGGATGACTAAGAGATACTGGTAGAATTCTGCCGTTTGGATAATTCCTTCAGCCACAATCTATTCAAGAGTCGTGGTCAAAACTACCGTTGACAATGCCGTTGACTTCCTTTTGTCGAGCCGGTAGTTGCCACGCAAAAGCCCCCGAGATCGATACCGGACATCCCAAATCGATAGCCTTAATTGATTTAGAGTAGGGTTATGAGAAGATCCTTTGATAGGGGGTGCCCTAACTCAAAAAGCAATACTGTAGAGGCCAAACAAGTAATTTTGACGCCACTTCCTATGCCCTGTCGAAGTCCCGATCATTGTGTGCTGTTGAGAACTGGACTTCTGTAGACAACTGGACGTTTGTGCGCCCTTCTCCTCCTTCGATCTAATCATTGTCTTAGCTTCTGAGGAAAGAGCCTGGTTCAGTCGGTGTTCTTGCTTGCCAGAACCAAAGGAGCTATAGTCTAACCTCCTAGTATCCCCCTTAATATCCCCTATAGTAGTCCCCTAGATATATGTACCCCTCTATAACCGCCTTTAAGGAGTTTAGATTTTGGTTCAAAGGCTCTAAAAAGCAAGCATGGTCAGGACCCTCGATGCGCCCATGGCAGGATGATCCGATTTTGGCTTCTTGGATGGCACGCCAGACCGTGCATTCAGGAATCTGTCCTGAGGGCTCCAAATGGCCCAATATAGGTACTATCTATAGACATTGGGGCCCAATGTAGGTATTATTCCAGGGTGAGCAGGAAGCATTTGGGATTCTACGGCGCGTCAAGTATAAGAGACCCAAGTTTTGATGCCGAGCAAGCTTGCTGTGGGGCACCGAGCCCTGCAAAAGAATCAGGATGAGCGACTCTAGTTCAAAAGCAGCCTTGATCCCGAACATCCAGTGAGTCAGCGCCGATTCAACAAATAGCAGCTGCAGCTGACGAAGCACGGGCAGAAGAGATGGACTTGCACACGTCTGGCGGCCCCAGCTCTTTCAAGAATCGCGGATTACTGTTCATCACGCTAGTAACCGGTGACTGCTAGTGAGCCGTTGGCGCTGGCGCTGAATCTGCCAAGTCCATGGGGTTGTTGAAATGGATGGTATCCTTGTTTTTTTATTCTTGCATTTCTTTTTTGTTTGCTCTTGTTACTGTTATTCCTGGCTTCTTCCTATTAGGTACACTGATCATGAGCATTCGGGATCTGACTCGCGAACACCGATACAGAACCAGGTGAAGTCCAGCACTAGTAAAGTTGAGCATTACTTTGCGAATCCGCACCTTCGGATTGTATTCGTCTAGACTTTCAGTTTCTGGTTTGCGCCTCTCATCATACAGGCTTTCAGGTTACGCCCACTGGGTTTTTATGTGCTTCTCACGTCAAGCTATGTCCCAAGCCACTCAGTACCCAACCTGTGATTATTAGGGAATCTTTCCGTCAAGTGGCCACTTTGCCCCTTGTCCTGCCGAGACCCAACAAATTGTGGGAGAATAATCTCAAATTCTTAGGGTGTGTTTGCAAGCTGTACACTTCGTAGGCTCTGGGTCAGTTCTTACTTCAATTCATGGCCAATTTCTGCAGGTTCCGAGCACAAATGACCCCAGCGAGTACAGTTGCAACAGACCAGTCTGCTGACGACTGGCCGAGCGCCGGCCATGTAAACAGCACAAATGTGCAACTGTGGACCACACAGGGGATATGTGTGAAGATGCAATACGCAGGGATCTCCTTGTCAATTGGACAGAGACTGTATTGGTAGTTTCCGGACCCCAAAATACTATGGTCCTTATTATTGGGACCCACCAAATGGCCGCCCTAGTTTTGGGAAACCCCCTATTTGCTATTTTGGTTCTCAGCAGGTGAGTGGCTAAAGTGCAAATATCTTTTGGCCAGGCATCGTGTTTTTCTTGAGAAATCCTGCAGTATGTAGATCCTAGGTCATACCACGAAGCCGAAACGTAGAGTTGCCTTGTTGGAGATCAAGCCCTAAGGGTCCAAGTACTCAATAATCATATACTTGGTCCAAACCTTTACTATAATTACTCTTACCCAAATCCCAAGCACCCACTTATTGGGCACATGGACCCCTATGGAAGGACGTTAAGCTGTTTAGAGAAAGGCGATGAAGGCTTCCAGCCATGTACGACCCTTGGCTCCGTCTCTAAAAGTCATATTCTTGGGGTTATATAGGGTTTATAGGGATAATGGAAAAGAAAATGGAAACTACTATATTACAATAGGATTTATATAGGGGTTAGGTTAGGGATATTATCCGCCTATAATGGAGAATCAAATGCAGAAGAACATGGAAAGTTAACTGGAAACCATTATTATTTAGGGTTTAGGATTTCGGGATATTTATCCCCGTATAATGGAGAATCAAATGGAAAAGAAAATGGAAAATAACATGGAAACTGGGGTAATATTGGGGTTCTATAGGGTTATATACAGTCAAGGTCAAGAGAATTTGGCCCCTGTGGTGCGCAGACAGTTACAACGGAGCAGACAATAGTTCAACTGCTTGCTCAAAGCAAGCGCAGAGCAAGTAGATGTTTCGGGTTTGGGTTGTGACATGGGTTGACCGCTGGTCCCAGGTGCTAAGCGACGCAGACGGAACTGTGCCGTACTCATAATTAAGCATGCTCAAAGAATCCCGGACCAATGACAATCTTCTTGAGTGCTTAGCTGACCCATTTTTGAAGCCCGTGAGAGAACTGAATGCACAGCAACATATAAGTTACAAGTTTTCCGTGTAATGCCTCTGCCTGGTATTGCGGTTTAGGTGAGCTCCTGCGCAAAGGGCGGCAGGCATTCTGAGTATAATACAGGCTCAGTGACACGAGACTTTGTAGGAGTTGCACTTGTGTCCCTGAAAATTGAAATCACTGTCCTGTAACACCGTAGCCCCATCCCCATAGCTGAAGTGAATTCGCTGAGCACGTTGAAATCGTAGCAGATGTAGAGCGGTCACGTAGGATAGACAAGCAATAGAAACGAGTCTGACTTCAACAGTTGTGTGAAGGAACAAAGGCTCTAGGGTCTACTCCAGGATGTTCACCTTATACGCCAAGGGTTCCCTTACTCTAAAAACCGCATATTCCATTCTATCCCAAATAAGTGAAGCTTAAACTGACAGGATTCTGATTCATGAATTCGCGTTCAAGATTGCCCACGACATATGATGCTAGGGAGGGTTTTCTAGGCTCAGGATTGGCACAATGGAAAGTGGGTTGTTGCCATCTGTACTGAAACATATCATTATGACATCTGCAGGTTATGGAGTTTCGGCGGATAAATTCTTAAACCCATCTGCAATCCACTTCGAGCTAGACCTGTGAGTGGAGATTAGAGTGGCTCCTGTGACGTTCAATTAGTTTGCAATGTGCGGGGTCCTACAGGAGCCTGTGTGAGCACTTCCGCAAAACGACAACAAAACATAACTGGCATTCGGGTTTTCATTATTGCAACAGTTTGGTGTTGGTTGAGAATACGACGGGGCATGCGTTCTCCACGTTTCATACCCAGCTTCATATTGTCAACATGTCCACGTTCCTTGGATTTGCTGAATGAATTTCTGATCTTCTGGCATTTCTGAAAAGTCTCCTCCCTGTTGAAGCCTATCTTCACAAGTGCCTGGACCGTTCGGGACAATTCAACACGGGAACGGCAAGCTTTCCCATGGAGCTCATGTCATGTTCAACCCCGCCAGCTGCTGGATTATGTGGTTGCTGGACACTGGCGGCAACTGCGGAGAAAACAGCGCCAGATTCCACTATCGAATGAGAGCGGCATGTGTCCATTGCAAATGTTAGCTCGGATGCATGCTTCAACACCTAACATGACAAACACAATCAGGTGAATATTGCAACCTGTGCTAAAGATTCAAGCAGAGCAGAAGTAATGCGGAGGCGTTACACCATAGGCATAAGTCGCCACTTACGAAGCAGAAACAAGAGGGATCATGGCCAACATGCACTCCAGAGCAGCGAACCTCTACCAGAAGAGAATTGCCCTGAGTTTTCGTCTTTAGGTGCCAAGAGTACGACGTGGGTCGGGAATTCAGCCTGGAATCAGGCAACTATACAATTCAATATTGTAGTCAGCCATAGCAGCTGACCACGACTCGAAACTTTGGTCTCGAGATTTGGTTTCATGCTAGCTCTTCACCCCTGCTGGTCTACCCAGAAGCCAAAATCTCAAGCCCCCCTGGCAGTGGCAGCCGCCTACAAACAGGATTGCAATCAGCAAGCTCATTACACCTCATGGGTTGCATGGTCTGGGTTCCGGCATGCTTCTTGCCGTTGAGACAGGTAGCATGGGAATGATAGCCTGTCACTCTTCCAGCACTGGCGCTTGTAGCTCTGCTGTCAAACATTAGGAATCACGCCTGTTTGCAACTCTGGATTTTGATGCGTAAGATGCGGTAACAACCGATAAGAACGTAGTGGCCATCATGGATACGCTAGATATCCCTGCAGAACGGAATGCAACACTAGA